AATAAATCTGATTCTGATTCTGACATGTCGAATCGACTTGTTTTATATTTTGCTCGCCAACTGTGTTGCATCTCTGTCCTCACCTTGCCGATGAGCTCTCCCAGCTGCAGCTGCTCATACGGAATGTCCCACTCCTGCAGGTAAACGCTGGTCTGGCTGGCCATACGGGAGATGGGGCCCCTACAGCGGCCAACGGCCCCCCGACGACATATTGAGGAAGGAGGCAGGTCTTCCAGCCCATCCTGGTCGCACTCCTCTGTACTCTTTTCTCTGCCGTGCAGGTCAGCTGCCTCCTCCTCCTCAGCTGGGTAGTCTTCCTCTGCCTCGTCCTCCAGAAACAAAGGACAGAATAAGTGAGCACAGACATCCAGTGTTTAATTAATTACTGAATGAAACTAAATAACTTTACAAAGACGACAATGTGAGAACAATGTGAACATGAGAAAACTAAATGCATTATTCAGTTCATCCAGTGGTACATATTTAGCAACGTGGGTTCATAGGGCACAGTGTAAGGACTATCATGGGTCTTTGTAGATGTACAATCCAGAATTCTGATCTGATCCTGGGAACCAGACAAATCTGCCAAGCTCATGTTTCATTTGCTCTGGCAGTTGTGTCTAACCACCCTTCCACTCAAACTGAATTCCAGCCAATCCGGGCCAATCAGAACCGTTTATTTAACATGGGAGGGTTTACTTTTGGGGCAAGATGATTGGCAGAGGAGCGTCACTGGTCCAGATGTGAAAAGTTACACAAGTCGGCAGGTCAGTCCAGGGCAACACACAGGCCCACGAAACGAAATATAAATTAAGATTCTTTTACTGAATTGCATATTTCTCAATTCAAATGTTTTCAGAAACAGTTTTTAGTGTACTGTTTAAATGTAATTTGAGAACATTTGTGACCAGGTCACCATTTTTTTCCTACTTGAAAACAGATCAAAACAGCCCCAACTTGTTACATCACACGTTTCCTTGCTCTGATTGGTTGTAGGTCTATCCAATTGCATCCAGAGGCAGTCCGTGGATCATGCTCCTTGCAAATCAGAAATTAACTGAGAGGTTCCAGACTAATTTGCAAGTGGACTAGAATTGAGTCCACTACCATCATTTGTATGTTGTATTCTTTATTTAATTTAACTTTTAATACAGTGTATTTCATTATTTCATGGCAACAGGGGATCAATCAGATCATTCTTGCTGTCTAAAGTACAGTTGTTTTCTACCACTGGGACTTCCAACTTCCCTGATGATAAATATGTCAGAGATAGAAAAAAACAAACACTACAGTGTACTTAAGCACACAGACCCTATAAATGGAACTGAATATGAGCATCCCATGACAAAAAAAAAAGCACATAAACCAGTTTTCACTTCTTCTTTCAGTACTTGCCAGTACTCACCCCTCTTTGCTCCACTGCTGTCAGCTGTGCCTCAGTGGCAGCCACCTGTGACACTCTGAGAGAAAAGCCACATGAATTAGCAAAATGACAGGGTTAATAAGCTCATATAGACTAGATTGACTAATACTGTACAGGATTCTTGAGGACGATACACATATATATGTGTGAGAGTTTATTTATATATTATCATCTATGGATCGTGTATGCTACATACATTAAAGGCTGACCAATACTGGTATCTTGATATTGATATTTAAGATTTATAAAGTATATATTGGCCAATATTAGTTTTTCTTTACATAACATGAACAAACATGATGATAATGATAAGGATCCTTTAAATTTGTATTTTAGAATCGTGACAAAGATAAAAGTATAAAATTAAACTTGTTAGTGCTCTGGACAGACAATGTAATGGAGAGACAGTTTCTAAATGACCTCAATTATGTCTGTGCTGACATTTCTTGTTACTCATCAACTGACTTTTATGAGAGGTACCCATGTTGTTGTCTCTTACCCAGGATCGTAGCAACTGCCAGAATGTTGAACATGAGCAGAAGCGGAAACATCTGTTGGAAAACACAACTTCAGAACACTGCACTACTACAAGAGTAACTCCCATCATTCAAAAATACTACACAAATACATGTTACATTATGAAATCTATGGTAGCTCTGAAAGGCAAATGAGAAAAATAATTTCTGGTGGTCCATTTTCTAAGTCTGAAATTGTTTCCTCTTATGACTTAAGAACAGGTGAAAAATGGCTTTATCACCATAATCTATCTTCAGTTGTTTTAAAAAAATAACTTTAGGCCTTAATATAATTTAAACAGGTGAGTTATATAAAAATCCACCCCTGTACAGCTGTCATGAACAAGGAAATTAGCTATAGAGACCAAGACCATTCTAGAGTAAAAAGTTATGCCTTTTTTGTATTGTATGTATTTTAGTCAGTGTTAAGATTAATTAAGATTGATCCTGGTGAACGTAAGTAAAAGTATAAGTATTACACTGAATCTTTTTAAGTTTTTCTGCCTAGAAATAGTACATTTTAAAGATACCAAATATGAACATAAGGCTTTGACAACAGTCCTTGCACCTCCTCTAGTTTTCAAAAACTTTTATATAAATGTGTTCATTTCTGACAAGCAACAGTTTGACCATTTTCATGCAAAAATGTAAATAAAAGTCAGTGTAAAAAATGAATCCTACTTTTTTGAGGGTTAGAATGTTTGCCGATTGCAACTTTATGGTTGTTTTGGAAGGTGAAGTTTGTGCTGCTGTTAAACCAACTTATTTACATATTCATGAGAGTAGTAAATATTCACAGTACAACCCAATACAATGTTTCAGCAATATATCTTCTGTTGGTTGCCTCAGCTCAGACACACTGCTGTCTTGAACGGACCGTGCTTACTTTGTGTACATGTATGTGTGTGTGTGAGAGAGATATCAATTGACCTGGAAAGTGGAAGCGGTTGTCCCGGGATCCCTGTGGTGATGGGTTAGGTGGGGGGGTGGCACTGACACTTGGGGGGTTACTCTGCTGGAAATGTGCTGGGGAGGAAGGTGTGGATGAGGTGGCTGATGACGGATTACTGCTGGAGTCCATCTGGTTTAAACTGGGGGGAGGCTCCTGCTCACACACACACACACACACACACAATTGCATTAACACCATTTATTTCCTGTACACTGACCTCAACACTGTTCTCCATTTCTAATCTTTATCTCAAGAATAAAAACACCTACAGTAGAGCAAAACAGACTTCCAAACACATTGTAAGTAAAGAAACCAGTACTTACCCTTTTGGTTATTGCCTTTGGTAAAGTGCCGAACTGCAGTGGGATCTCTGCTGTGTGATCAATCCGGTTATTGATATCCGACGGCACTGATTCTGCCCTGCGCATCCTTGGCACTACAAGTCAGATTACATCATTTTTACATCACACTGAATATTGTTCCTTAATTATAGGACATGCTTTTCAAATTTGTCTTAAAACACTAGGCAGGTTTCCTGTTTGTAGGCTGAAACAGCTTTTGCTTGTATCATTCCTCCTGTTCATACCAGACATTAAAAGATACCTTTCTGACTTGCTTCCAATGTCAGTGATGCATTCCAAAGTGTATATAAAGCTAATATGAGGCTACAAAGAGCTGAAGTATGACCAGGACGAATACTTTCTGTTATCTGTATCTGTTGGACCAACTATATCATCTGTATTTGCATATGTACTTTGAATGTGTGGGGCTTAAACTGGAAGTATGGAGTAACCAGATGTTTTTCCATGTAAGCCTGAAATTAGGTCTGCACAATATAAAAAACATCATAAGATATTGCAATATTACTCACAATTTGTAGGAAAATCATTTTTGCATCACAAATATAATTTTCACTAAAAAAGACTTATAAAGAATTATAATCATGACATTTTTTTGGGTCTGTACTAACCAAACATGTTTTCGACAACAACACTACAGAACTTTACTACAATGCTGTTTGAATGGCACACATTTTACCTTTATCAAACAATGGCAGCTTCTTCAATTTGGATATTGCACTTATATTAATATTGCTATATTGCAAGTTCCATAATATTTTCATTAATTGTGCAGTCCTACATGAAATTGATATGGGTCAAGTATCTGTATTCCTAACTGTACTCTGAATGGGTGGGGCTTAAATGGTAAATGGTAAATGGTAAATGGACCTGTACTTGTATAGCGCATGGGTGGTGCTTAAACCTGAAGTGGTTCGGGACCAACTGGAAGTAGTTCATTTAAGCCTTAAATTGATATGGGTTGATCAGAAGTTGCTATATTTATTAGAAAACTGTTTATAGAACAGCTACAGAATTGTTTGTTGTGTAATTCGCGCAACCCATCTTTTTACTGCAAATCACCAAAAGTACACGATCTGCTCTGAGCTGGTATTAGCTCCAACAATAAAAAAAAAAGTTTAGTAAAGTTCCTAAAACTCATCTCTGATTAATATTCACAGGAAATAATCTGCACAAAATTCATCCAAAATTATTAATTTTACACAAACTTCCTGCAGTTGAGTGAGTTCACTGTTTGGGTTCATTGTACAGTTTATTAGGTATATAATATGAAATATCCATTAAATATATGTTAACCACATTCCATTTTTTAAATGTCACTCACACTGTGATCAACCCAAATGTCTGTGCTTTCTCTGTCAGTGGAAATTCTTTCAGTTGGACTCACATAAATCACCCAAATGATGACATACAGATCCTAAACCTCACTGGAGCATTAGGAAAATGTTCAGGTATTTCCCTGACAGTTCAATTTGATAGGAGAATGAAAACAAAAAGAACTTACATGTGAGAAATGATATCCGACATGAGGGAGCATCTTTGGTACACTTGTTGTGGCACTTTAACCTGTGAACAGATGGATGTGAGGAACCCTAATGATAACAAGTGTAATCAAACAAGGAGGTTAAATTCACATTCTCTTACTTGCAGTGTTTGCACTTGACACCAAACATCATGCTCTTGTGACACACTTGGCACGTCTGGGAGAGCCAGGACTTGGTTGAAAACCTGCAAAAGGACAGCAAATGAAAGAGAAGAACATTTCTTAATTATAATGACACCATTTTCTGACCTGTTATTCGGATTGATAAGCCTGAGAATTGAAGTTTAGCAGTAAGCAAGAGCAGAAATCTGAGGGAGAGTAAATTCACCTAAAACACCTGAAGTAACTAACTTTACATCAGTGGTTCTCAATCTTCTCCCTGAAAGAACAACTGCTGGCTAAGTGACATATAAGCATCACATTTCTCTTTGATATAAGTTAACCATTCATGAAAAATTAATAAACTAATGTACACTATTAGGTTAGTTCTCGCATTCTTCGTCCATTGGAATGGAAAAAAAAAAAAATACATGAGGTATTATGATCATTTTTTATTGCTAATGATTTATGAGTGCATTTAGAGTAGAAATCCACCATTACAATATTTGTTTGTGTTTGGAACACATGGGTTCTGATTGGGTTAAATAGTGATAATAATCAATGAAATCAGGTTTAACTCTCCACACTGAATCTAACAACCTGTTGGACAGTGTTGCAGTCCTGCAGCTCTGGCAAATACTGTAGTTTTCTTAATGACATGTTGTGTGAAGGTCACAGTGTCTCAGTGTGAATTTGAATCAACACTCAGAGTCATACTATACGCCCCAGTAACACTCTCACAGGAGTTCACAGGAAACCACAGCAATGATAGTCGAATGTCAATCAGCCAGAAAATTCCATAACAGTATGTGGACATGTCCGTTTGTAAAAACTGTGTTAGTTCTTGTACGTTCAGCCAGTCACATCAACTACTATTTTAAACCTGTGTAAAAAAGTATTAAAGCTGCAGTAGGTAGGTAGGTAACTTTTATAAAAATAACTTGTCGTCATATTCACTGAAACGAAAAGGAAAAAATGTGGGACCACTGCGTCAATTCAAATGTAACCCTTTACACACAGCCCACACTCACTAAAAATAATGTGACACATCAACCACAGTGCCCACAGCAATAATGTATAGAACTATCTTATGTAAGAGGTTAATGAGGGGTGGTGGTAACTGACCTGTGTGTTACAGCCAGGCCGATATCTCTCCTCAGTGTCTGAGGGGAGCTCCTGTGCATGGTCACATCTGTGAAAAACACAAAAGAGACAATGGATGAAAACAGAAGAACAGAAGCACTGCGGGACAACTGGAGCAGAAATCCAGGCCTGTATCTGGTATGGGAACTCACCGTCCAGCAGCGTGGGGTTGGCAGGCATCATGTATGGGGCTGAGGCTGGGACAGGACCTGGCGTTCGGGCAGACAGCAGCGGGGAACGCAGTGCTGAGTCCTCGGGAGGGTTCCCACCGCCGTTAATATGAATAGCAGCCAATGCTCTGTTCTTCTTGCAGGCCCTGCAAGGACAGACAGTAGCTAAAAGCTGCTGCAAGTTCCCCCACACAGCAGCCCACTTCATCCTGTGATACTGTGACAATTCAGCTGCACAGCGCTAAATGCTGAAAAAACAACTGTTCTGTCATTGGTAGCAGGTAAACTTTATCAGTTTGGCCTTTGTGTTACTATTGTCTGTGCTTATGTGTTTTCAGATTTGCCATCAATCTGCCAGGGACTGCAGATATAAATTAGCCTGTATGGCTAAATCTGGTACATTTACATATTGGACTTAAGTCATTATGTTAATTAATAAACTTCAAACTTTTACCAGTTGTGGGGCTAACATTTGTCCTGACGGTGGGACTACAGAATAGGCCATGAGTTGAAATCCGAACTTTTATATTAACTAGGGGATTTTACAGAAAATGTATCTTCTAGAAAGTAAAAAAACAGAAGAATCTTCACCATTAAGACCCTGAGTGCTGTATTCACTTAAAAACCCACTTGTTTGACACAGGCTCCTCGATGCGGTTGGCCAGTTGTGACTCATGACTCTTGCTTCTCGTCATGTTGGGGAGGAGCTGCAGCAGTTTGCGGGAAGGCGGCGGTGGCGTGTGGGAGGGCTTGGTGCGCGTCTTTAAGGCTCGGCTGGCCGGGGGGGAGCTCGGCTCCAGGGCGAAGGCATCGGCCATTTCCTCAGCTGAAATGTAAGGTCTCTGGTCGTTTGAACAAGGCACCACTGATATGGAGATGGAGCGGCCATGAGCACTGGTAGCCTGCAGACGAGTGGGAGGGCTGGAGAGGGGGCTGATGGGAGAGAAGGCATCACTGTCCTGTTGGGGCTCGGAGCTGCAGGAGCCTAAGTCAGGCCTTGGGTCACCTCCTTGGGTCAAAGAGTAGAGATCACAAATGAGTATCCACACTGGTACTTTCCAATAAAAGAGACCTTTGATTGTGTTTTTCCCCATACCCAGGTCTCTGTTAAGCCCACCACATGCTACCTGCCCTCAGGTTCTGTGTCAGCTAGTTTGTGATCATTTGATTTAACACAACTTTATTTAGGAAGTGTTGTGATCACAATAATAAAATAATAAAAGGTTTAGCATGAAATGTTATTCTTGATCCTGAAAACAGTTTAACAACAAAAAAACAAAACAAAACAAAAACAACCCACTTACTAGTTCTTTTCCAGAAGTTTCAACCCAATCATTCATCACACTTCAGGGGTTTACTCAGCAGTACATTTATTACAGACCAATTCTTCTGTGGTACTTGTACTTGAGTGTTTTAATCTTCCTACTTTACACTTACGCCACTACATTTGAGAGAAAAATATTGTACTTTTTACTCCACTACATTTATTAGGTACTTGCGCCAGCCACAATATTAAAATGTTACTACATCAATAATAATAATAATAATAATAATAATAATAATAATAATAATAATCAAATTTTAGGAAAATTGTCAAACAACACGCCAGCCTAGTTTTTTATGCAATCAGACCAGTGGGATCTGGATTTGTAATTATCACAGTCCCTGTTAATATCTTACTTGTACCTATTTTATTACACCCTTAATAATAGAATATAATAACATTTATTATTTACTTAACTAATATATTGAATGCAAAACATTTACTTGTAGCAGTATTTAAAAAGGTGCATTGCAACTTTTACTTAAGTAAAAGATCTGAATAATTTAATCCACCACTGAGTTTACCTTTATTTTATGTATTGAGTTGGGATTGTTTTGCCAAACTATTATTTAAAAGGTCAAGAATGAACTTTGAAGGATGGGGCTGGACAGCTACTGTGCTGGTTTGGGAATCCTGCTTTGAGTCTTCTGTTTTTAAATAAAAAAAAATAAAATAAAAAAAACAAACAAAAAATAGCCCTTTTTAACATGGAATATATAAAACTTAAAATATGGCTGTTAAATATATCACATAATTAATATTACGATTAAACAGAATGGATAAATCAACCCTTCACAATATGCAGGACAGCCGGTGTTCCCAGGTTCACCTGTTTCATTGGCGCTCTTCAGACAGGAGAGGGCGGCAGTGAGGCGAGAACGATCCTCTGAGTTGGAGCCCAAGCGTCTCATGGTGTCCTGCAGCTCAGAGCCGGACATCTGCAGCAACCTGTCCACTGAGAGTTTCCCTGCTGCAGCCTGCAGGAGACAAAGAGGACGTCTCTGTCAGTGGCTGCTTTCAGGACAAGACAAAGGATATACAGTAAATTACCATGAGTGTGTTTGTCTGACTATTCCTGTTCCAGTTTTTGTAATTTGTAAAACTGTCCTTCTGCTGATGCATCAGTCAGTCGTCATCAGCATCAGGTACAGGCAGACTTTCACCATGTCTGACATCTATGTCTGCTTTAACAAGCTTTAACGATCATAATTTGAGCTGAACCAGGTCTTGACAAAAACAAAGAATCTCAAAGGCAAGACAATAAAGTATTATAAAGTGTTTCTGTTATATTGTCCAACCCTTAAATCAGTGCCTTAGAACAACAAATGGTGCCTGCTGGACACAAGATGTCTTCTACTTCACTGTAAAGTCCATTCTCAGCAGTGGTCGATAGTTTTTTCCACCTGCTGGCCGATATATAATGCCAATATCAAAACAAAACATTTTATTGTGTTCTATAGTAAATTCAGGCATGTGTTTACAGCAGGATGCATGAGAATTATAGTACAGGGCTCGACACCAACTTCTTCACTACCTTCCCAAAACTCACAAAGCACTAACCAGGTTCCACAACATCCACACGACAAGGCTTGTAAATTGGAAGGTTTATATCTGATACACTTTGTTTGCTTTCATTTTTGTCCTCTCTTGCCTCTGTATGAAATGCAAATAGTGTATTGTACATTCATGAGGGCCTACAAGATGCTGGGGAACGTCCCAAAAGGGGCTGCGAGCCGAGCTGCCTGCAACGGTTAAGCTAACTTGTCTCTGATACTTTAAATACCAGACGTCCGAAGACTAAAAAATCCTCATCCGGTTCAATCTAGAGCTTTTAAAAAGCCACCAAGATCTAATAACAAGTGATGGTAAAATAAGTGCTTCAGACTGGATAAACAGTCAATGTATGACAGCTTCTGGCAGACAACCACAATTTACACAATCTGCTGACATAATCTGCTGATATCAACGTAACATCTGCAGAAAACAGTGCTGGCAATTGAAGCAGGGTTGTCAGCTGGGACAGCAGGAAACTACCTCTCTCAGACAACCAATAAATGAGACCAAAAACTATGCTTACAACATAATGCAACTTTCCCGCATTTTGCACTCATTGGATTGTGACAGTACAGATTAAGCCAGGAAACATGGGGAGAGAGAGGGAGTAGGACATGTGACCAGAATAGAACCAGGGATGTTGTGGTTACACCATCTCTGAAAATATTACACATGGAGAGGCAGGGTTGTGATCACCAACTTGATTATCCTGGGGGGTTGTGACTCTTAAAGCTGCAGTAAGTAACTTCTATAAAACATTTTGTCATATTTGCATATATCCTGACAGTAATACATGAGACAGACAATCAGTGAGGGAATCTTGGCATTTACAAGAGTCTACTGGGGCTGAATGAAAACAATCAATCAGAGCCAAGAAAAATAGAAAGATGCTTTGGGTTCGTGGTTTGAAGATAGTTGATTGTTCAGTC